CTCGGGGGGGGGAAGAGCCCAAGGAGGGCGGGGAGGGGGCAGCAGTAGCTTGTGGAAGAGCCCGCGGTGTGGGAGGTGGCTTGCGTGTCATGGGCGTACATTGCGAAGTTCGGAGGAAAGTGGGGAGGAAAGCCGATGAAAATGAGCCAATGGAGGCAAGCAACGAACGAGCGGGAGCAACCACCCGATACAGGCGATTTGGTTGTTTCAGGTTCATCTGGTGTGGCTAAGGCGACGGCGGGCGGAGCGCAAAGTGGAGGAACTTGAAAAGCGATGGCACCTTTTTGCGCGGCTTGCTGGTGCCGGCGGGAGAGAGCGGCGGGCTGACGACCTCGGCAAACTCGCGGATGAGCGAGTAGAGGCCGGCGACGGTGGTGGCGGCGGCGCGGACGGTGTCGACCATGGCGGCAGCGGCGGCAGCAAAGGCGGGATCGCCAAAGGTGCAGTAGACCATCGAGCGGCCGCTGGTGGAGGCGGCGAGCCACTGGAGCACAAACTTGAGCTCGGGGTCGCCGCCAAAGGCGCCGCAGCCCCAGTTGCCGGTGACGACCGCGCGCGGGCGGCTCGCGTCGAGCGCGGGATGGGGTGCAAACCCCGCGGAAGCCTTGCGCAGCTCGCGCGCGATGGCGGCGTCCGAGAACTGGACCGTATGGCTGCGAAAGCGGCGGCGTCAATGGCCACAACTGCGGTCGTCCGATGGCCGTTTGCAGCGAGCGGCGCAGGGTCGTTGTAGCCGCCGGCAAAGGTAAAGGACGCGCCGTAGCCGGCGTGTGCCGAGTACCGCTGCGCCCCGACTATGAGCAGCGCCTCGTCATCGTCGAGCGCCTCGGCAAGCAGTCGCGAGACAATGAGCTCGGGCGCAATAAGAAAGCGCACCTCCTCCTGGATGCAGCCGTTGCCAAGGACGCCACCGCCGACAAAGCGGTTGGCAAAGTCGACTTCGACAAAGTCCCATCCGGCGTCAGCGCTGGCCACGTCCTCGATGAGCGCATCGGCGTCGATGGTCACCGCTTCCAGCAACGTCTCATCGTCGTCCCAGTCGGTTTCGCGATGGGCAACAAGGCGGGCAAAGGTGACGTTGGCGCCTGGCGCGTCGGGCGAGTACGCCGCGCACGCCTCCTCAAAGTAGTGGATGAGGCAGCGGAACTTGCCAGCGACGCTCGGCTTGCGGACGGCGGCGTAGAGGTGCATAAAGGTGAACGACGGAAAGGCGGCAAGGTCGCGGGCCGACGAGCCACGCCGTGCGTTGCGGTACGGCCAGCAGCCAAAGGCCGCAACAGCCATCGCACACGCCAGCTGTGCCTGGGTCAGCGTCACCGCGCCCGGCTCGCCACGGCGGAGCAGTGGCACGGGATCCGGGAACAGAGCTGGCAAGCTCAGCGCAAGCGCAGCCATCCGCGGAAGAGTATCGACAAAGAACCGATGCGCCTCGTCCTTGCTCGCGCTCTCGTCCCAGAACCAGAGCCAGGCCGAGGCGTCGATGTCGTCTACGCCGCGCAGCTCGGACAACAGTGCCACAAAGCCGTGAGGCGTGACCGGGAGGTTGGCGGGAGCGAGCGCGCGGCACATGACAGACCATTGCGTCGCCGCCGGCCCACTGGCGCTCGCGCGCGTGTTCGAGACCGAGTGCGGCATGAGGACAGCCTCGCAGGGCTGCGAGAGATCCCACTGCGGCGCGAGCTTAGGCTGCGGCTCATCACCTTCGATGGCGGGCTCCTTGCCGTCGTGTGGCGGTAGAGCCGAGGTCGGGACAACAGCGTCAAGATCGATGGTAGCATCAAGGTCGATAGCGTCGGCAGGGGCAGGAGGAGGACCGGGAGCCGGCGTCGCCACCGCGACAGGAGACGACGATATCTCGACAACAGGAGCATCCAGCGGACGAGCGCGCTTCTCGGGTGGAGGCGAGGAGGCGGTCTCGTCAGGTACAGGCGGCGGGGCGGCGGTGGGGAACGACTCGGTGCGCCGCTTGCGCTTGGCGGTCGACGGGGTCGAGCATGGCGGGGCGCGGGCAAAGAAGGAGACAAGCGAGGTTTGCTTCTTTGGTGGGGCTGTCTTTGACGTGTTTGGGGTGTGGTACATGGAACCCGTGGGAGAGAGAGGTGGGCGTGGGCTTGGGTAGAGTTTGGGGAGGGGGAGTCGATGCAGAGTGTGTGGACGGGGCAAGGTAGCTTGATCACCAAAATGGCGGGTCATGTTTACTATGTCACGCCAACTTGTCTCGGGTGAGGTGTGGGTGCGAGGATTGCTCCTGCCGCAGTGGGCAGCCAGCTCACGGATGAGGGCCATCCACTTATCGGACTGAGGCTGATCATGGACATGGCAGGATCAGTACCGCTGCATGTTGGGAGGGTCATGGGAGGGAGCAGCCTGCGGCTTGCAGGAGGGCAACGACGTCAGAGTGGCCGTTGCGCGAGGCGCTGTGGATAGCGCAGTTATCACCAGCGGACGGATCAACACGATCGTCAGCGAGGAGGAGGCGGACAACGTCGGCGTGGCCGTAAACGAAGCCAAGCGGATGGCACAGTTGTCTTTGGCGGACGGATCGACACGATTGTCGGTGAGGAGGAGGCGGACAGTGTCGACGTGGCCGTAGTGCGAGGCCCTGGTGATGGCATAGTTGGCTTTGGCGGACGGATCGACACGATCGTCGGCGAGGAGAAGGCGAACAATGTCGATGTGGCCTTTTTCGGCAGCCCATGCGAGACAATTAGAGAGAGCCAGCGTGTCGGAGCTGATCTTTGGATGGTGCATAATGGCCTCCACCACGGGAACCAGCCCGATACTAGCAGCAGAACGGAGCACAAGGGCCGTCTCCCCGGCATCCGCTCTTGGGAGGAGACCAAGCGCCACATCGCTCATACCATGGAGGACGGCAAACGCAGCGAGTCCAATGCAGCCACAGAAATACTGCCCCAAATGCCTACACAGACCAGGCGGCAGCGCAGTTGAATACGCGGCGGCATGCATGGCAGCCAGCTTGCGGACGAGGGCCATCCACTCGTCCGACTCGGGGAGGGCGGGGTCGAAGATGGCGACGAGGCTCATGGGATCGGGGTCACTCGTGCTTGGCTTTGGAACCGTGAGAGAGCAGAGAGCCAGCCGAGCCCCTCTCCACAGCTTGTGCCTGACGCAGGTGTCGTATCCGGCTTTGGCGTGGGCGAGGGCGGCGACGAATGGGCTGCCAAGCAGGGCGGCGTGAAGGCGCTTGGACGACGAGGCGAGGGCGAGGTGGTCGACCGGGGTTGGGAGGAAGGCGGCGACAGCGAGGATGAGTTCGGTTGGGAGGGTTTCCAGCATGTGCGTGTGTGTGTGTGTGGGGCGGGTGGGTGGGCGGGCGAGTGAAGTGGGTGGCTGAATCGTGCCTGTTTGCTTGGGGCTGGCGCAACATGTGTGGCTTGGGTTCGGCGCATTGACCGGTGGGGGTGGTCATGGGAGCGTTGATGGTGCCAAGTCGAAGACAAGGGGCTCGGATCACGCATCGGCGTGCGTTCACGCTCATGGCAATGCCTCGTGACACATGAGCGTGTGTCTGGTCGGGCCGGCGGCAAACCCGAAGCCCCACTGCAACCATACACGTCGGCCCCCGGGCCGTCTCTGGCCCCCGGGTCGTCCCTGGCCGCGGGCATGGCACGCCGAAAGCACCATCTGCACCTTAGCGATGCAATCAGGACGACACCAGCACAAACACGTACCCTCCTCCCTACCACTCACCCATCCGTGTGATAATCGCGCCTGCAACGACTTGGCCGGCCACGCCCTCCCACACGCACTTGCGCTCGCACTCGGGACCCGAGCCAACACGAGTGTTGCACGCCACAACACCTGAACTCTCCCCACTGCGTTCACTCCCCCCCCCCCCCCCCCACACACACACAAACACACACACACAAACACACACCCAACTCCCCACCAACCATGCAGACAATCCTGACATGCATGCTGGTCATGGGCAGCCTCGTCCCCCTGGTCACCCCAGCCGCCCCCGTGCAATGCATGGCGGAGGTACCTGTTGCGCTGGCCGAGGTCTTTGCAGCGGCGCCGACGGCCGAGGTGGCTCGTGTGGCCGACGTGGACGGTGATGGCGACAACGATGTTGTGGTCATGGGTAGTGTGGTTGGTGGTGCTATGAAGCAACTCTTGTGGTTTGAAAACTCAGACGGCCTTGGTAGTATGGTCCTCGGACGTGTGCTGGGCGGAGACGAGGTGCACGATTTTTTGCTCGCCGACCTCGACGCCGATGCCGATGTTGATGTTGTGGTTATCCACAGCTCGATTGTGTACTGGCGGGCGAATGACGGAAGTGGCTTATTTGGGCCAGGAAAGGTGGTGGCCAATGCTCGCGCAGGCGATACCTTTGTCGATTTTGCCGTCGGCGACGTCACGAACGACGGTGTGGCGGACATCGTCATCGCCGTCCGCAACGCGGCGCTGGGCCACTCGCTGTTTTTGTGCCGTAACAACGAGCTGGTCTTGTTTGAGTCACCTGAGGTCATCTCTATTTCAGGCGAGCCGTACTCGGTCACCATTGGCAGCGTTGACGGCGACGGTCTTGACGATATCTTATTGACGCTCGACAACGGGGCCCCGTTTGTTGGGTGGCTGCGTGCCGAACTCACTGGGTTCGACTCGTTTGTTTCGGTCGCCAACACGGCGTTGCTCCACTATCAGCTTGAAGCGGGAGACGTGACGGGGATCGGCCGTGCGAGTGTCGTGGGGCGAGCGGGAGTTGTTGGCGGCGCTCTCTACGTGTGTCGCAACGTGCCGCCCCTGGCGACGGAGGCAACGCCGATCAGCATCGAGGCCGCGTATGGACACGCACTGCTCGACTTCGATGGCGACGGTGACCTGGACGTTCTCTACGCACAGGTGGCGGGCGGACAGGAACTGCGTGTCGCTCTCCAGAACGGCGACGGGTCGTTTGCGGCCTCTGTGACTGCCAACGCGCAAGTGGTGCGCCCGGTGGCGCTAGTTGCGGCCGACATGGATGGTGACGGCACAGATGACCTTGTGGTCCTTGGCAAAGGGCCGGCGCCGCACTACATTCTTCGCAACGCGGGCCCGTCGACACTCGTCGTTGCGTCCACTTTTGGAGACACGTTCAGTCCAGCAGGCGCACTGGCGGCGGCGGATGTGGACGGCGACGGGAAGAGCGACGTTGTCGTCGCGGTCCACTCGCAGTTACGGGTGTACCTGGCGCCGGCACTAGTAGACGTCCATTGGAACGTCACAACCCCTCACTCATCTTTCGTCCTCGCGGTCGGCGACGTCGATGGCGATGGAGCGTCTGACGTTGTGACAGCACCTCATTCAGCCGTGGGCGACGTGGAAGTGTATGTTGGCGACGGTACCGGCTCGTTTGCGACGCCGCTGATGGTGTCCACCACGGGCGCTGTCGTCGCTCTCGACGTCGTCGACATGAATGGCGACGGGCGTGCTGACGTTTTGTGGGAACGGGGAGCATCACTCAATGCGTGCTCTCAGCTGCCGGCATCTCGTTCGGCAGCGTGACTACGCTGCCTGTGCGGTTGGCAGGCGTAGGCGATGTTGATGCTGACGGCGACCTCGACGTGTTTGGTGTTGTCGGCTCGGACCTGGAGTGGATGGAAAACCTTGACGGCGCCACCTCTTGGGCAGTCTCCGCGACTGCCGTGCCCTTTGACAGCCCTGCCATCCCTCTCGCCGCCTCGCTCGCCGACATGAACGGCGACGGGGTGGGCGAGTTTGTGGTGTTGGTCCGCGAGGACATTTTTGTTGTTGCGCGCGACGCTGTGGGTGCGTGGACAACTACGCAAGTGTTCGATGGTTCGACCGAGTACACGTTCGATGCCTTCGAGCTCAGCGACCTCAACAATGACGGTGCTCTTGACATGGTTGTGGTTAACCTCGCGACGTTCGGCATGACCCGGGTCTCGGTGTTTTTGGACGTGGCGACGGTACCCTCGGTGTTGTCAGGACAACCTCGTGACGATGGTGGGCCCTCCTTCTGGCTCCAAGGCGGTGGTTAGTGTTGGCGACATCGACGGCGATGGGGACGGCGACGTGCTCTTGGGCAGCGGGTATCACGTTGCTTGGTACATGAACGAGCCGACGCCGATATCCAGTACCCGGTTTGGGACAGCCATAAGTGTGACGCCCAATGCTGTGCCGCACGACGTGCGGCTAAGGCACATGCACAAGTACGCTGCGGCGTATGGCGACGTCGACGGCGACGGGGATATCGACGTCGTGACGGCGACGTCGACCTCGTTCGTATGGTTTGCCAACGGTGACGGCGCGGGTGAGTTCAACTCGCTCACTACCATCGGAGGTTTTGCCGAGAACTTTGTGTCGGGCATCCAGCTCGCCGACATGGACAATGACGGCGATCTCGACATGGTGGCATTCACAGAGCTCCCGGGTGAGGGCTATGGCAACGGTCGGCTCGCGATTTACCTCAACATCGATGGCCAAGGCACGTTTGAGCTGTTGTTCCGCAACGTTGCGGATGCCACTGGCTTTTTGGCGGTGTACGACGTCGATGGCGACGGGGACACCGACATCCTTGTCGACAGCGCTGGGTCACAGTCTGTCACGTGGTACGAGAACGTCGACGGCTTTGCCACACCACCTCCTTCGTTCTCGTTCAACTCTGGCGTGTACTCGAACAGCGCCGCCACTGGCGACGTCGACGGTGACGGCATCGTTGACGCGGTGGTCAAGGAGCAGTCGGACACCGTGTACTGGCTCTCAGGGGCTGCGGCCCGCATGTGGACGCCCGCTTCCATGACCGTGCTCGACGATACCGTACTTTCCGCCGCGGACTGCTATCAGTCGTGCTCCTGGCTCAACCTCGGCGACGTCGACAACGACGGTGACGTCGACCTCGTGATCGACGTCCAGGCCGAGCTGCAAGTCTTTCTCAACAACGGCACAGGGGCGTTTGCGCCCGTAGTGGCCCTGTCGACACTGCCAGACACCCCGCTCTCGCCTGTACTCACCGACGTCGATGGCGACGGCGACGTTGACGTGCTCATGGCCACGTGGTCCGAGGGCCGCCCCGTGTGGTGCTCCAACACTGCGCGCAATGGAACTTTTCCCACCTGTCGCCTCCTCGGCAGCATGGTTGGCGCGCTCGGCGTCGACGCCATCGACGTGGAGGGCGATGGTGACCTTGACGTCGTCTACTTTGCTGGCAGCGCGGCACTCACGCTTGGTTGGATCCCGACTCTGAGACGCTCTGCGTTTACCTCGTACACACCCGTAGAGCGCGTGGTGCCAACGCGACCGCTTTGTTCCGGTTGTGCCCGCACGTTTGCCGACGTGATGGCTGTCTTGAGCACAACCTCCCGCTGTACGCGTGACACAGTGGTGCTGCCGGCCGGGCGGTACACGTGCCGCGCCGACTCGCACGCGCTGCTCACTCACAGCGTGCGCTTTGCGTCCGAGGGAGGAGGGCGAGCGATCTTTGACTGCAGCGAGCATGGCGGTGACACTGGTGTGCTCTTTCGTGTTGGCCCGCTCGTGGCTGCGGGTGCCGAGCTTGTTGGCGATCTGACTCTCGACGGCGTGGACGTAGTCGGAGGGAGGACGGCGCGCGGGTCGCTACACGGTACCCCGGCCATTCGTGCGGAGGGCGTGGACGCACGCGTTTCGCTGCACAATGTGACGATGAGAGACTGCGCGAGTGCGCCGCGTGCGGACGGCGCGCCGCTGCTGGACGTCGGGCTGGGCGGTGCGCTGCTCGCATCGGGCGGCGCGTTTGTGGAGGTGACGCACTCTACGGTGACCGGGTCTTCGGCGTCAGACTCGGGCGGCGGTGTGTACGTGCGGGGTGCTGGAACGCAGCTCAGGCTCGGCGCCGGAGCCCAGATCGTGGGCTGCGAGGCCGGCAACACGGGTGGCGGCGTGGTGGCCGTGGCGGGCGCGCGGGTGGAAATGGCCGACGGCGCACGCATCGCGTCGTGCACGGCCGTGTCGGGCTCGGGCGGCGGGCTGCGGCTCGGCACAGGCACCGCGGCGGCGATTGCGGACGCACTCATCGAGGACAACGTGGCGGGCGGCGCGGGCGGCGGCGCGCTCGTGGAGGACACCATGCTTGTCATGAACGCTGGAACTGTCCGCCGCAACCGGGCGTCGTTCGGTGGCGGCATCGCAGCCATGGCGGTCTCGCGCGTGGTGGCGTTCGAACAGGCGAGCACGAGCGTGGAGGTGCCGCTTGTTGGCGGCGGTGCTGCTGTTCGTGCTGGCCCGCATGCTGTCACTGGTGGCACGCAACTTGTGGACGTGGTCATGGAGGACAACGTCGCGACCACGCTCGGTGGCGGGCTTGCCGTGTGCGACGCTGTGGTTTCCGTCTCTGGTGCCGCCTCGGTGTGGTCGGGCAGCACGGGGTCGGACGCATTTGTGTGCGCCGCGGAAGGATTTGCGCCGAGCCGTGCGTCGGCGGCCACGCTTCCGTGGTTCCGCATGAACGCGTCGGCGTTTGCCGCGCTGGACAGTGCGAGCATTGTCGGCCCGCTGGCCAACCTCGAGTGGATTGCCGAGTCGCAGGCTGAGCTGCAGTCGGGCTCGGTGATGATGGGCGAGCTGCGCGGCCGCGACTGGCTTGGGCAGGTCATGTTTGAGCCGCGGCTTGATGTGCAGCTCACCTTTGATGGGTCTCCCGACGTCGTGCTGACGGGACAGACGACAAGCGCGCTTGCGTCTGTGAGCGTGCCGCTGCCGCAAGTTGCGGCTACAGCGCGGGTGGGAGCTTTGCCGCCCGTGACGGTGGCATGGCAGCTTGGCGTGGCGAGCGCGAGCGCGAGCGCAAGCGGACTGGCGGTGACCCCATTGACGGGCTCGGTCGACATTGTGGCGTGCGGCGTCGGGTTTGGAGGCACGGAACGGGATGGCACTGTGGTGTGCGCGCGGTGTGCGGACGACGCCGTGTCCAACGAGGTCTCGTTTGCGCCGTGCCAAGCCACACCAGTATGTCCGGTCGGCACCGTGCGGGTGGCCGCGAACGGCACGTCGCTCTGCGAGTGCGCGCCCGGGTTCTGGACAGCAGGTGCGGCGGTGGGTGAGGCGTGCGCACCGTGTCCGCGTGGCGGCGTCTGTGCCGGCGGTAGGGCGGCGCCTGTGGCGGCGCCTGGGTTCTTCCCCGACGACGATCCTGGATTGTTTGTGACGTGTCCTGTTGCGCGTGCATGTGCTGGATCTGGGCGGTGCCAGGCCGGGTATACGTCGCGGCTGTGCGCCGAGTGCGCCGACGGGTACTACCGGCTCGGCTCATTGTGCCGCAAGTGCGACACGGGCAAGAACATAGTGGTTGTGATGCTGCTTGTTCTGGGCGTGCTCTTTGTGACGGGCGTGCTCCTTGCGTTTAACCTTGCGGCGAGCGTGCGGTACAAGTTTGCAGCCGCCATGATCGGGCTCAACGCGCTGCAGATCTCGGCCATGTACGGCAAGCTTGACCTGGACTGGGGCTCGATCGCGCGCGTGTACTTTGACTTTGCCTCGGCGCTCAACCTCGACTTCAGCCTCACGTCGCCAGAGTGTGCAGCGGCGGACGGCACGGACGTATGGGTGATGAAGTGGGTGCTGACGCTGCTCCTCCCGCTGTTTGCAGCCGTGGCCGTCGCGGTGCTCGCGCTGGCGTTTGCGGTGCTCATCAAGGCCGGCGTCGGGTGGGTTGGGAACAAGAACATGGGCGAGCTGACGTCGGGTGCCGGGCGGACGTGGTTCCAGCTCCTTGTGGTTCTCTATCTGCCGCTAGCGGGCGCGTCGTTTGCACCGTTCGGGTGCCGTAAGGACGAGTCTGGACGGTGGCTGCTGGACGCCGACCCATCGCGACGGTGCTACACGTCGGCGTGGTGGGGACTAGCGGTCTCGGCCATGCTCGCCGTCGCGCTCTACGCGATCGGGATCCCGGGCGTAGTGGTGATGCTCCTCTCGCGCAGGCGGCGGTCGCTCGACCCGGTGACGTTTGCGCTCCGGTTCGGATTCCTTGTGGGCCGGTTCGTGGACGAGGCGTGGTGGTTTGAGGGCGCGATCATGCTTCGCAAGGTGGGCGTGGTGATGTGCATGACGTTCTTCACCGGCGACGACTCGAAGGCGAGCACGGCAGCCGTGGTCCTTGTGGCGACGCTCGTCCAGCTCGCGCTCGCGCGGCCGTACATGTCGACGGTACACAACGTGGTGGCGGTCGTTGTGTTGGCGGCGACGTCGATGGTGCTGTACGCCGGTACGCTCGAGTCGTTTGTGCTGCGGCGTGGCGGCGTGATGCTAGGTATTTTGGGAAACGTGCTCGCCATTGTGGTTGGTAACGCGCTAGACGTGCGCCTGCTGGCGATGTCGGAAAAGGCAGCAGCGTCCCAGCTGGACCCTGAGCAGCAGTGGGAGGCCGAGAACGTGGCCATCGCCGACTCTGGCCATATGACGACCGAGGTACAGCTCGACGACTTTGCCGACCACTCGCAGCCTGTCGCACCGTCAATGGCGGGCATCGGCATGTCGTCGCTCGCCGACCCGGGCGACACCCTCTTTGACGACGAATCGAGTCGGCTGTCGTCCATTGCCAGCAATCAGGTGTAGATCTAAATTTCAGGATCAGTTGCGCTACATGTGCAGCAGGAGTTGCGTAGCTGGTGATGAGAAGTGGTTGATGGCCGGCGGCGGCGGGCAATGCAGGTAAATTGGCATTGGTCATAATCGGTAATGAGGGTGGTAGGGGTGTGTGCGGGTCGAGCGGCCGAAGGTCGTGGCGGAAGTGAGCCGAGGCCGCTGGGGATGGGTGATAGCGATATTGGTACTGGAGCTAGTGTGGGGTGAGTGATGACCTTGAGTGTGGTCGCGGGTTGCGTAGGTTGTGGTGGGTGAGAGCTAGGTGGTGATGCAGGTGGGCCTGATCGGGCGAGGGGCCGACGGCTGGTGGCTGGTGGTCGGCGAGGCCGGGGCAGCAGAGGGGGCGGGGTTGAGGCTGGGTGAATCAAGATTGCTGTTGGTTGGTAGATAAGCAGTATGGCAAGTGATGGTTGAGGGGTGTGGGTATTGAGGTTGGGGATGGGGATGGGGGTGAGATGGAGCGGGGAGAGGAGGAGGATGGGGAGGAAGAGGAAGCGGGGTGCGCGATGGGATGGTGGTGGACATGACCAAGGCATGGGGGTGGTGGTTGTGGTTGAAATGAGAGTGGTGGTGGTGGAGTAGGGGGTGAGGGTGGTCGTTGGTGGTGACCGGGCGTAATGAGTATGGTAGGGGGGATAAGGGAGGTCGTGACGTGGGTGGCGTGGCGGCGGAGGGGTGCTGGGTATGGCGATTGGGCTTGAGCATTGATGAAGGTGAGTATGATACGGCTGATGGGTGTGTGTGGCGTGTGGGCAATAAGGGTGGAGGGGCTTGGCCGGCAGAGGGAAGGCGGCGGACGTTAATTGAGTTGAACGTTGAATTAATTTAAGAAAAGCCGGAACAAGCATCAAACGAGGCAATGACGTCCACGACAACAGCCAGAGGTCAAACATGACATTCACAGCACACACATGAGGAAGTCAACAGGGACTAAGTAAAGCTGGCAGGCAATAGGGTGGACTCGGGTGACGTTGAGGTCGATGAGGCAGGGCGCGGTTGATCGATCAGATCTGCAGATCAACCATGACCACGACACAACAGGGTCAACACAAAATACGTTGCATGCAAAACTATTGACCATGGCCAACGACAACAAAGATGAGAATCGATGGTGTAGTGAGCAACGGTCGATCATAGATGTGGAAGTCAAGGTCGATGAAAACAGGGGAGTCAAGAACAAATGAAGCATGACGAAAAATAATACAACGCAACAACAAGAGCGAAAGGAATGATGAATGGGAATGCATGTCGATTGTAGTCAACCATCACAGGCAAAAGCAACCAAAGCAGAACATGGAGGCAGACAATAGCAACAACAAAGCATGTGGAAACATGAACGGCAAAGAACAAAGAACACAGTCAGCCAACAAGAAAAGAAACGGAAAGAATCGAATGATCAATTGACAATGATCACTGACATTCAATACAATGTCAAACAATCGAACGAGTGACGAGTGGCGAATCATGAAAATGTTGAATGACATTCATGTCAATCAACAACCCGCACATGCGACTCACCCGAACAAGTGACACCGGCAAGTGTCAATGGGGGGATGGAGAATGTGAATCCGCATCAAAGACTCAATCCAGGCCCATGCACAGCCATGCGCATGGTGCGGTGGAGGTGAGTATGGTGGCATGGATGGGAATGTGGATGTGGGTCATGGGTGGGATGGGTAGAAGTGGCAAGGGGGCAGTGAGTGGCAAGTGGAGTGAGTGGTGGTTGGTGGGGAGGAATGGAGTGGGGCTAGGGTTGATGGGGCATCAGCTAGGGTTGACGAGGCATCAGCTAGGGTTAGGGTTAGGGTTAGGGTTAGGGTTAGGGTTAGGAGGTAGGTAGGTAGGTAGGTAGGTAGGTAGGTAGGTAGGTAGGTAGGTAGGTAGGTAGGTAGGTAGGTAGGTAGGTAGGTAGGTAGGTAGGTAGGTAGGTAGGTAGGTAGGTAGGTAGGTAGGTAGGT